CTCTCTCTCTCTCTCTCTCTCTCTCTCTCTCTTTTAAACAGATTGGGATATTTTCAGTGTCCTAAATGTAGAGATAAAAACTTACTTCACGCACCTACCATCTGTCGATGAGTGATGATTTCACCACATTTAAATATCTAACCATTCCCTGTGAACATTCGGAACACAGTGTTATTCCAAGACAGTGTGGAGAATCTAATGAGATGGAATTTCAATAGCGCCTTCCCTTATGATGTAGAATCCATGCAGACTTCAACAGCATGTTGTTATTAATTTTGATTTTTCCACGACTCAGTCACGGGTTATTAATACTTGTTATGGCTGAAAGTAAAATTCTATTATTCAAACCTTGGTACTAAAGTTTGACAGGAATTTATTGAAGAAACTCTTTAAACTTGAACAACAGTGCTTGATTCTACTCCTGACTAAGACTAGTGAGGTTTTCCGATTTCCGTCCTTCAAACGCAAAAGGATCAAAGATTGAAGAAAGAAAGAACGAAAAACAAGAACGAAGGACAGAAAGAAGTAAACGAACATGAAAAAAGAAAGAAAAGACAGAAAGAAAGAAGAAAAGAAAAAAAAAGAAAGAAAGAAGCAAGCAAAAAAAGAAAAGAGAAAGAAAGAAAGACAAAAAGAAAGAAGGAAAGAAAAAAAGAAAGAAAGAAGAGAAAAAAGGAAGAAAAGAAAAGCATTGAAACAAAAGAAAAAAAGAAAAAAGAATGAAAGAAAGAAATAATCCTTTTCGCTCACTGCGTGTGAAAACACAAAGAGGCCCACGTTTGAGGCACAGCCTGTACGTTCTTATGGTAAACGAGCTAGACAAGACCAGGCGCCTGTCAAGATAAAATTGAATGAACAAATTCGTTCTGGGTACCTCGAATTCTCTGAAATCGTATCATTTGGAGCTTTAAAACATTTCCTCTCCGCATTTCACGGGCTTGAGACCGTCACACCGAAGTGGGCTGCATTAAAAATGTTTTTGACTTTTGTCTAAGTCTTTTCTTGAAATAGATTGCTTTTGTCCCATGCCCGTTCCTAACAAACTGACGCCATATGGTTAGTAAATAACTCTGTGGTTAAAGTCAAGATTAGGAGATAGAGATAGAGGTAGACGTAGAGATAGAGGTAGAGATATAGATATAGATAGAGATAGAGGTAGAGGTAGAGATAGAGATAGAGATAGAGATAGAGATAGAGATAGAGATAGAGATAGAGATAGAG